GTGTTAAGATCACACAACTAGTGTACAGGGCACAGACCTAAAGAGGTGACCACACACTCAACAAGAGCAAATGATAGATAGTGTGGTGGCTGATGTCAAGCACAGATCTGGGTCAGTGGAGAGGCATGTTACATAGGAGGAAACAGCAAAGCAGAGAGCCAGTCAGAGAAGTAGGGTCTTGGACACCAAGGGAAGAGATTATTTTACTAATAATAACAATTAAACCAAAGATGCACTAAAAAAGATGAGTGAGAACAGCAAACAGAAGTCAGTGTTTCTCTTGTCTTTGATCAAAGCCATCTATGACGCCTCTCATCTTCCAGAGACAATGAAACACCCTGGAGTTGTTTTTTAATTGTGTAACAATAGAAATAGAATTTCTAGTCCTGTGTATCAGGTCAACCTTCAAATTAGACATTAAAAAAATAAACAAAACGTTTCTCCCAGGGTTTTTTTGTTTTGTTAGTTTTTAGTTCAGGCATGATAATGACAGGACTCTACAAACAAGGGTTATCTGGCTATCCCCCTCTTGTCTGATACTTACCTCTTTACTCACATACCGTCAGTCTCAAGAGGTGCAGGTACTTACTCATTGGCCTGGCACAGCCCAGAGCAGGCTACAGTCTCTGGCCTTGCCTACATTCAAAGTCATACTTCCAGGATGCTGTCTTTGGTCTCCCTTGTGTTCAGAGTTGACCCTCCATTTGTGGAAAAACTTCCTGGCTTCCTACTGTGATCTCTGTCCTTCAAGAGATTCTTTCTCAGTAACAGTTCCAGATGTCTCAGGCCTGCCTCTATTCCAGCTACTTTCTTAGTCTCTGTGCAGCCCAGAGGAACCTTGCATGTTTCCTCCATCCAGGACTTTTCAGGATTCCACGTGATACTTTTCACAGATGTTAAGAGCGATCACTCCATTTCTCTTCTTTGTTATCCTAATCAGACCCCAACCTCATAAACTCTAAGAGGCTTAGATATCAGAAAGATACCTCAAGCCATAAAGCTAATCTTGGCTAGATTGCCTGTCCCCATTCAGATTTGCTAGGTCTAAATTGTGTATCAGCACACCAGCCTCCACACAACTGCAGGTGATCCATGTCACCCTTCAACAGGTCTCCTAGATCCTTCTAATATAATTCATGCATAAGAAGCATCACAGACACTTCTGTCATCCCCTCCAGGGAAACCCTATTCTCTATCTTCCCTTAACCTTTGTTTACCTATTCTTTTTGTTACATAATTTGATAGAGATAAGAGTTCCAAGAGTTGTTTAGGGAATTATGGATGTCACTTAGTGGTAGAGCACTTGAGTAACACACAGAGGACCATATGTTCCACTCTGACACTAGCAAAAAACCAAGTGTGTTAGTCCATGGTGTCTGTGTTATGTGGGTTTGGCTACTGTATGCACAAAGTATGGGGGATGAGGAACAGATGGAAAGATATGACTAGGAAGAAGCAAGAAAAGTATTCTTAAATATGAGCAAGCAGAAAACTGAGAAATCAAACAATAATGTCCAGACCTTATAGAGCAGGGTAAAGCCATGGGAAGGAGCTAGCAATGAGAAGATGACAGGGTATCTATCTGTGTGCAGTGAGGAGATAGTGTATCAGTGTGCAGTGAGGAGATGACAGTGTATGTGTGTGCAGTGAGGAGATGACAGTGAATCTATCTGTGTGCAGTGAGGAGATGACAGTGTATGTGTGTGCAGTGAGGAGATGACAGGTTATCTATCTGTGTGCAGTGAGGAGATGACAGGGTATTTATCTGTGTGCAGTGAGGAGATGACAGTGTATCTGTGTGCAGTGAGGAGATGACAGGGTATCTATCTGTGTGCAGTGAGGAGATGACAGGGTGTTTATCTGTGTGCAGTGAGGAGATGACAGTGTATCTGAGTGCAGTGAGGAGATGACAGTGTATCTGTGTGCAATGAGATGACAGGGTATCTGTGCGCAGTGAGGAGATGACAGTGTATCTGTGTGCAGTGAGGAGATGACAGTGTATCTATCTGTGTGCAGTGAGGAGATGACAGTGTATCTATCTGTGTGCAGTGAGGAGATGACAGCATATCTGTGTGCAGTGAGGAGATGACAGTGTATCTATCTGTGTGCAGTGAGGAGATGACAGTGTATCTATCTGTGGGCAGTGAGGAGATGACAGGGTATCTATCAGTGTGCAGTGAGGAGATGGCAGTGTATCTATCTGTGTGCAGTGAGGAGATGACAGCATATCTATCTGTGTGCAGTGAGGAGATGACAGTGTATCTATCTGTGTGCAGTGAGGAGATGACAGTGTATCTATCTGTGTGCAGTGAGGAGATGACAGTGTATCTGTGTGCAGTGAGGAGATGACAGGGTATCTATCTGTGTGCAGTGAGGAGATGATAGTGTATCTATCTGTGTGCAGTGAGGAGATGACAGGGTATCTGTGTGCAGTGAGGAGATGACAGTGTATCATCTGTGTGCAGTGAGGAGATGACAGCGTATCTATCTGTGTGCAGTGAGGAGATGACAGTGTATCTATCTGTGTGCAGTGAGGAGATGGCAGTGTATCTGTGTGCAGTGAGGAGATGACAGTGTATCTGTGTGCAGTGAGGAGATGACAGCGTATCTATCTGTGTGCAGTGAGGAGATGGCAGTGTATCTATCTGTGTGCAGTGAGGAGATGACCGGGTATCTGTGTGCAGTTTTACCCAGTGAAGAGGCAATTGTTAAGTTAGAGTGAAAATTTGAAGAAGCAAGATTCAGAAGGGAGGATGGGAGATAAAGATGAGAATGCAAGGGGAAAAAAACAAAACTCAGGAAGGGCTCGTACTCAAAATAGGCCATTAAAATATTGTTTTCTTCTATGACTAGATAAAAATTAAGAATGTATAAAAAAGAAGACAGATTGGAGGGGGAGTGACAATCTGGAGACATCTGTTTCTGTTGCCATTTCATCTGAACAGCAGAGGGCTGGATAATCTTCCAGGAGGGGACCAGGAAGCTGAAGCCCAAGCTGAGGCTACCATATGAAGTAGTTTGAAACCAGGGTGACGAGAAGCACATGCAAGATGAAAACTATGGGTCCAGCCAGCACAAGCTCACCCTCAGTCCAGTCAGCCCAGGGCAGCTGCAGGAGGACCACCTCTAGGCCTGACCGACAGCCCTGCAGAAGGGAGAGAGCTCCCTAGCAGGTGATTTTGTCCCAGCATAGGAGAAGGCCATGAAGATGGCACAGTTCATCAACATAGGGCTGGGCAGTGATACCAGCACAGGTTAAGTGATCATTCTGGGATGACAGGGTTGGAATGATGGCATCTACTCATAGCACAGCATTTCTGGAATCAGGACTATTTGAGACATAGAAAGAGTAGGCCAATACTAGACACAGAAGAAAGTCAGCAGTAATGGGAATTTTCATAGTTTTGAATTACTGATGGACATTAGAGATGAAAGAAGAAATGTATATCCCTACATTAGCTTTTCATCACTATAACAAATGCCCCAGACAACTTACAGAGACACAAGTTTTATCTTAGCTCAAGGCTTCAAAGGTTACTTCCCACTGGCTATGGGGCCTACAGTGACACATCGTCCTAACACACTATGGCAGAGGGGTGTGAGGCAGTAGAACACTCACCCTATGTCTAGTAAATGAAAAAGACAGAGAGGAAGGGGCCACCATCTCTCTCAAGGGATGACTACCTGCCACGGGGTCCTAACTGTTTAAAGTCCCACCATGTTACCAAGGCACCAAGGTAGGGTCAAGCCTTTAAAATATAAGTCTTCAGAACCAAACTACAGCAATACTCCAAGTACTCCATGAATGAAACTCAGAAGAATAAATATGAAAGCCCTTTGGATGTAGGGAAAAAGTTTTCTTCTTAAAGAATAACGTGTGGTTTTATCAAGGTTGTTCTTTCTCTGAGTCAATATAAGAAGAGTCAGCTGATATGCAGATACATTCAACTTAATTTGTATAAAACTTGCTATGAATCATCTTCCTTTAAAATCCATTCTCCTCTAGACCCTCCCTCTCCTGTGTCTTCTCCATTCCACCAACTACCAGTTTCACTTGATTCAAAGTTTTAAATGACCTCATTGTCTTCTGATACGGTAGGCTATGTGGTCTTGATGTCTCCTTCTACACCTCATAAGCTGATGTTAACATTTCCATCTATGTTCTATCCCAGAGACTCCAACTTGGTACTAGCCAGACATCCTGTGGAGTGACAAATGACAGAACACTCTTCTGTAAGCAGGTATGGGTCCTGGAACAAGCGGAGGTAGGAGGTGTGAAGAGTATCAATAGAGAAAGAAAAAGAGAGCAGGATTTTACCCCACCAAAAGCAGCCTTGAATATAACAACATTCAAGGGTAGAGATTATGATAGACTGAAGAGAATAATGTCTTTCTTTTAAAAAAATTGGGGGCAAGGAGGTAGTTCAGTTGATTAAGTACTTGCTATACAAATATTAGGAATTCAATTTGAGACTCAGAAACCCCACACAAAAGACAGGCATGGCAGCATAAAGTTATAGTTCCATGTAGGTCTCCAGTACAGCCTAGCTTAACAGACAAGTTCTAAACCAGTTGGAGAATCTTTATTATAAATGCGATCTCCTTGGTGCAACACCCAGGTAGACATCCGACTTCTACCTGCAGAAACATGCACTCTCTCTCTCTCTCTCTGTCTGTCTGTCTGTCTGTCTCTGTCTCCGTCTCTGTCTCTGTCTCTCTCAGACATTCATGCAGTATAAACAAATAAGACAGTGTAGACATCTCTTGATCATTGAAGGGTCTTTTTTGATGATATTGGAATAGTATCAAAGAAGTTCAGAAAGACAGGATAGAGTGATAATCACTAAGTTTAGTTGGCAGGATATCAATGAATCAAAAATATATTCACCAAGAGAACATTTTTACAGAAGTTATTATTTGAAAATTGCCAAAGTACTTGTTGATAAGGAAAACTAAAGGTAGAAATCGATGTTTTGTTATCCATATGTATAAAGATTTACCTTCCAGTCTCAGGATCAAATCCAGAGTAACCATCTTGGCATTGGTAAAGGCTCTGCCTAGTGGTTGAGGGATCACTTCCTGGTAACAGTGTAACAGATATGGCTTACTGCTCCAATTGTGTGGTATAAGCACTGCAGGCCAGTGGTGCGGCCAGGAGAAATGTAAAAGTCTAGAAATAAAGAAATTTTGTTTTCACTCTTGGTTCAGTCTTCTCTAGAAAGGATAGTGTTTAGATAGCACTCAAAACCCAAAGACTCTGAAGGGACCCCGTGTCTCACTGTAACAGTAGTCAGAGCTCTTCTTAATAAGTATATCAATTACAACAACAACAACAAAAAAAACCAACCATTCAGTCATCTACATGAAAACACTGTAGGGGGCTAGGTAGGTTTCTCAGTGATTAGTGATTCTCTCTGATCTTATAGAAGGCATGGGTTCAGTCCCAAGCACTCCCATTCAATTCATGACTGACTTAAACTCCAGGGTTAGCAGAACTAAGTGCTTCATCTGGCCTCTCTGGGCATCAGGTACCTACATGATGGACATGCATACATGGAGGCAAAAGAGTCACTCACATTTAAAATTAATCAATTTAAATTAAAACTAATTTAAGTCTATTTGAGGAACTTTCAACTAAAAACTGGCCCTCCTCTACTCAGGTAGAAATAGTTACCAAATAAGAAGTGGTGTATCCTACATACCAGAGAGATATTGGGTAAGAAGTCCAGATAAAATACAGGATTCCCAGCTAAAATTTAGTTTAACAATGATTTCATAGCAAAAAATGCACTATTTACAACTACTAAATGATGATTGTTTAAAAGTCAAACATAATTGATCATACCAAACATTGCTAAAATTCTTAACCTTTAAACTGTCTACATCACACATGCCTTACACTTTGTTCATCACCAAGACCTTCCACCCGTGTCTCCCAAGGATTTTAAATCTTCTTCCCCCTTCCCACCTGCCAATGAAGGCTGACATGAGCTTTTTCACAGCGTGCCCATGGACTGGTGTTGTTACAGAAGGACATTCACACATTAGATGAATATTAGATGCTGTTCTATCCTTCCTGTAGATAAGAAAGTGGAAGCTTAGGAAGACTGACAATCTCCCCTCAAATGCTGATCTAATGAATAACACAGGCCAGGTTCAAACACAGCCTGTCCAACTCCAGAACCCATTTTACCCAATGACGAGCCCAGACCCTCCTTGTCAATCTCCTTGACTGACAGGTTTGAACAATCTTTCCAAACGGAGATTTTTAATGTCTCTTTCCTGTATTTCAAAGTAGTTTGATGCTTATTTCCTTCATGAAAAATATCCAAACTAAATCAGACTGCTACCACGGCTTTCCACCCTGCAGTCAAGGCCTGCCTACCTCTCTGGAGTCATCTCCCAAGAGTAGCATCTCAGAGTTGCTGTTTTTCTTCTTGACTCTTTAAGGCCTTTCCGAGAGACATCAGCTCTGTCCATGGCCATGGCTTCCACCGCGTCCTCTGCTTAGTTCTTCTCTCTAAAGCCAGGTCTCCTCATTGCCATGATGAAATTTCTCTAGGCCAATGCAGACATGCCTCTGACAGCTTCACTGCATCTTGTTGACTGCCCAGAAACATAAATTAATCTAATTTTCATCAGACTGTCACCTTCATCATCTTAGTGAGTTGACATTTCCTCTACTACCCATAGCAGACTTTCACTAAACACTGATGAGGATAGAAAAGCAGACACAAGGAGTCAGTGAGTTCCACAAGTACTACACTCAGAAAATATGTACACACACACACACACACACACACACACACACACTCAGCTTAAAGATTTTCCTTTTATTTCATAAGTATCATCCTTTTCTTATGTCAAAAGTAAAGAAAAATTGGGACTCACAATCACATTGGAGTTCTTTAAAGTCTTCTGGACGACAGCAAGGACAAAGTGAAAAGGGCCTTAGACATTTGAGTGCAGACATGTGAAACATAAAGGTTCTTGGTGTAGTGTGATGTAAATACTTGTGTATGCACACATGCACACACCTACTGAGATACACACACAAACACACCAAACATGCTACCAGGAATTAAACTGTGGCAACAGGAAGAGGGATCATAGAAACCATCTGTTGAGTAAATCTGTGGAAGATGAAACTTGTAGAAATGCTATGATCATTAAGTTTTGTGGTATATTAGTCTTAGTGAAAAGAATAAGCAAGAAGACAAAGCCCCTACTGTGTTGTCTGTTCTATCAGGAAAGTAGAGCATAACTGGGAATTGTCACAAATACTTGAGGATCTAGCTAAAAAGAAGCCATCACCCTAGATTACTAAATTAGTCTGGTTTCCTTGTCCTATGTCCTAACTATGCTCTTAGCCTCAAAAATGGGGAAAATTGTGTTCAACAAGAGTGAAAGGAATAAATTGCAAGATCTAGAACAGCCAGGCACATGGCATGAACAGCATCACTTTCAGATTAATTTACAGCCAGACTACATGATTATTTCTCTATTTGTTCTTATATCTACTTGCAGGAATAGATTGTAGCCACATCAGCTAATACCTGTTCACCTATCTGGCTCACCACATGGTCCAAGCCACAGATCCCAAAATCTTGTCTTTGGTATCTAAGGAAGGTACCTGACTCCCTAAGTTCATGAGGATGGTATCATGAAGGGACTAACAGCTCTCCAATTTGCATGGATTACCCATTAGCACAGATACTTAAAATTAATTTGGACTTATTGCAATAGCTTTGAGTCACAGAAAATTCTCGAACAATTAAGGATCATTTTTTTGCAAGAAGTATTACTTAAGCTAAGTCTGGGTATATGAATGGGGGTGCATTTTTGGTATGTAAGATTGGGTAGTTCAAACATTAGAGCGTAAGGAACTGCGTAGAAAAAATATTAGAAATGCAGGAAACAACAACCATGGAACAAAGCACGAAAACTCACAAGAGCACCGAGGATGCGGCAGGGTGGGGCTTCCAGGGAGCAGCCATGGTGGACTGAGCTGTGAAGCCAGGGCTCCAATTCTCCAGAGCTCCATTATAAAGCGTAGTCCCACCAGTATTTTAGTTGTCCTATTTTTAAGCAGTTCAATTAGGATGACGCAGGGAACTTCCTGCTCACCGACTGCTTGTCACCTCACCTGAATGTGCCTAATTCTAGACCATTACCTCTCCTCTGATGGCTTCCAACTATAGAAAACAACATTTCCCTCCCCCCCCCCTGCTTAAACTTCCACTCTCAAGTGTGGCTTAATGATAACTGACCTTAATTTCTTCTCCTACTCAATGCATCTCTGACCTCACTCCATTAGCTCAGCTTCATGGTCCACAGCCTTACATCCGTATCATTTTAACAGATATTTCTGAGATTGTTTTCCCTCGCAAATGTCTTTATACTGCCTTCTTAAACACCGCCATCAGGCCAGCGTGCTCTCTTTGTTTTATGTGGGGCTGAGAGTTTGCAGGCACAAAACTGGCCTCGTAAAGCATTTCATTTCCCCTCTTATTTCAGCCAATCCTCGGTCCTGAGCAATGCAAACCTCAGAGAGAAGGCAAGGTGTCTTCCAGCTCAAGGAGAGCAGACCTCATATCATAACCCTCCTGTACCTGGAAGGGCCTTACAGGACCCACAGAGCACTGCATTATTAGCAAGACCGTGGGTATCATCTCCTGTTGTGGCTATTTGCACAGCACAGCACCTATCCTGGGCATAAACGAGAGCCCATTTCCTAGCAATATCCCTCCTGGGGACCATGAACAACTAGGTTTTGCTAAGGTCTTGAAATGGGAGAAAGAAAACAAACTTAACCTGTGGGCCATGTTCAGAAAAGGAGGGCAGAGCGTGGCTTGGCACTCATTAGAGGCCATTAGGAGACTGTACTCTGCACCTTAAACCGCAGACAGGATGCCGCTCACCAAAGGAATCTGTGTCGGGAAGGACTCGATTATCAGGGTGTCTGGATGCAGTGGGAACAGCAGTTTCAAATCAGGATACTAACGCTTCCCTTTGTTTTGGTGTTTCTAATAAAAATACTGCTGAGGGCATTTTCCATACCTTTGACCCCATGTTCACGGGAGTGCAAACACACCACCACTCATCCCACTGTTATTTGAGGCGATTGGTGCTCTTGTTAAATTAGATTTGCTGAAAATGTTCTACGTTTGGCTCCTCTTTTGGCAACTGTCCACTCCTCTGCTGCCTTGCCAACTGTTATATACTCTTAAAACAAAGCTCAGATCTTGTCTATTAAATGATCTATGGCCCTATCCTTCAAGAATCCACCGGTTTCTTGTACATGACATGTCCCTTGTACTTAACACAAACCAGATTCCTTTGTATATCTGTGATTTTATGTCTTAAAGCAGCCCAGGGCCTGGTGTATAGTACCATATTAAATGGATGTGCCAACAGACATAATAGACACAGCAATGAAATGGGTAGATAACTCTACAGGCAGAGGGAAGAAGGATGGGTTGGTGGTTGGATCAGTGTCTGTGGTTCCTTAAAGCATGAAGTGATTTCTTTCCCTAAGAGAGGGAAAATGGTAATATAAGTCTGTGAGTCAGAAGAGTGACTTGTCAGAATGGTCCAGCCTATCACTGAATGTAGAAGGGGACGTGAAAGAATTGGCAAAACGAATAGAAAATGTAGCTTTCCACAAATCATCTGACAGATCAAAGGAGAGATTTCAAATGTCAGCCCTCAATGAAATCCCTCTTTTAGAATAGGGGCATGGTACAATACGACTCACCAAGCTTTCTGCTGGACTCTCTTTTATACAAGCTCAGCTTCCTTACCTGTGTGAACCTCTGGGAAGGCTCGTGGAAGCTTGCTCAATTTTTACACACACTCCCCCCTCCACCTTTTAAAGGCAGCAGCTCACTATGTAGCCCTAGCTGGCTTGGTTCTCACTACGTAGACCAGGTTAGTCTGGAACTCACAGACGACTGCCTGTCTCTGCCTTCCCAGTGTTGGGATTCACGGTGTGCACCATCATGCCTAGCCATAGCATCTGTTCTAAGCATCAAACACAAAATTACTGAAAAAAAGAAACCAAAATTTCTGTTAAAATCTAGGAGATTATAATGATTTCACATGCATATATATTATCAAACTTTTATATTCTGGTTTATTCTCCTGCGTTCCAGTATTTATCAAATGCAC